GTTGTGATTAAGAGGTGGTTTTCGTAAAGTAGCACCTGGTTTGGAGTGTTCCTGCTGGGTTTACAGACGCAGGTTCCTTGGGTAAGTGTTTGAGGACATGGCCCGGGAGATTTTGATAATGACCAGTGCTTGTGGAGTGCCTGCTGCATAAACCTCACCACAACCTCGGGTGCTAGAGGGGTCAGAGTGGGTTTGAATGGGTTAGTGGTCTGTTTTTAGCCGAAGAACATGGCGTGAAGGCTTCCCTGTGTTAGGCTTTATTTGACAGGGAGACGTGCTAGGGATCAGGAAAGGATCCCCCTCCGAGCTACACGGAGTGACTGAAGCCAACAGACCAAGGTGGTGCAAACGTGGAGTATATTAGGAATGGACTCGGCATGCCGCACGAGACAAAACCGGTGGCTTTCGTCTTGCCCTCGCTCGGGGTGGGTTTCACATTAATTACTGCTCAGTCCCCACTCGTGTGTGTGTGTGTGTGTGTGTGTGTGTGGTTTTTTTTTTTCTTAGTTTCTCAGTCTTTGCAATCCTGGAAAAACATTTTTTTTAAGATTTTATTTATTTATTTGAGAGAGAATGAGAGAGAGAGAGAGCATGAGAGGGGGGAGGGTTCCGAGGGAGAAGCAGACTCACTGCTGAGCAGGGAGCCCAATGCGGGACTCGATCCCGGGACTCCAGGATCATGACCTGAGCCGAAGGCAGTCACTTAACCAACTGAGCCACCCAGGCGCCCATGGAAAAACATTTTCTACTTGGATAAAGTGGTCTGGCTCAGGGTCACACTCTGTTACTTAACTCCTGGGACAACTGGGTTATTCTAGACTTTTCCACCTCTTAGAGCTAGTTTTTATCAAATTCCTTGAAAAGAGGTCCCACTTGTGGAGTTCAGAACAATCTCCACCCAGCATGCAGGCAGATTTTAGGAAAACCTGAAACAATGAGAATTCTCAAAGAGTAGATGGGTATTCTAAAGGTTCTCCTCAGAAGCATCTGAGCGTGTTTCAATTTTTGTTTGAAATTTTTTAAGAAGATTTTATTTTTAAGTAATCTTTACACCCAACGTGGGGCTCCAGCATACAACCCAGAGATCGAGAGTCTCACACTCCACCAACTGAGCCAGTTGGCACCTCAAAATTTTGTTTTAATTTTTAATTATATGGTAAGTATGTGAATCTCTTCTCTTTCAAAACATTTTAGAATATTCTAGCTTGGGGGCGCCTGGGTGGCTCAGATGGCTAAGCATCTGCCTTCGGCTCAGTTCGTGACCCCAGGGGCCTGGAATCGAGCCCCACTTCGGGCTCCCTGCTCAGTGCGGAGCCTGCTTCTCCCTCTGCCTCTCCTGTTCCCTCCCCTTGTGCTCTCTGGCTCTATCTTTCTGTCAAATAAATAAAATCTTTTAAAAAAAATAATAGTCTAGCTCGTGCTAAAGTTCACTTTCATCTTCACCTCTAATTCCTGTCCCCTCCTCTCTGCCTTCCAGAAGTAATTCCTGTTCTTACTCTAGCTATATCCTTCCAGAAATTTATAAATATGTAAGTGCCTGTGGAAAATATTTAGTGGCATGGTATGTGTTTCTAGTAAATGCCAATAACATGCAATATATAACTTTCAGAAAACTCTTAATTTCACTCAATATTTTTTTATATGTCCATATTAATACGTGGAGATGTGCTTTATTTCTTTCAACTGAATTTGGTTTTCCACCAAACGAATATACTACATTTTATTTCTCTAGTAACCTTTGGCTGGACAGCTAAACTGTTCAATCTTTGGTATTTACAAACAGTTCTGTAACGAACATCTTATTACATGGCCCTTGTTCATCTGCATGGGTTTTTCTCTAGAGTAGATAATGGGAAGTGGAATTACTCAGTATGTTCCCTTTTATTTTTAATTTAGCTTTCTTTTAATCCAGGAAATACATGCATATACTTTAAAGCTCATATAGTTCTACAAGAGAAAGTGTTAAGAGAAACAGCAGTCCCCAGTGGACCCCACACAAACCCTTTCTTTCTGCCCACAGGCAACAACTTTCAACCCTTGCTGATTCTTTTGGTACTTACCTCCAAATTTCTAAGTAACCTGATTATGTTATTATTTCTTGATTTTTTTTTTCCATTTTAGGCATGCTCCCTGGCTTCCCAAACTAGAAGATGAGAATGTAGCCCTCTTCCCCTGCCTGGCCCCCATCACACACATGCAGACTCCCTCCCCACATCCTGCCAGTACGGATAAGACGTCATTTCAGCTGTATCAATATTGAGTATTTGTCTTCTTCTAGCTACACAAAATACTTTTCACAGACAGGCCATTCCATATACAATAAGTGCTTTTCCTGTTTTATGCGCTGGCCTGGGAGTTGACATTTTTGTACATAAATCCTTTCAGCGGATGAGCGTGGACGGCAGCTTCTTGCTCTTGTCTAGCACGCAGAGGGCTGCTCATCTGTCGTTAGGTGCACGGCCTCGCCAAGAAGTAACGTGCAATCATGCAGGGGTGAAATGGTTTGGGGGTGAGTAATGTGTGGAAACACCCCCCAAAACCCTTTCCCAGGTCACACACCAATTCCCAGCTTGGCCCTGAAACGTTTGCTTTCCTCATTTTTTCTTCATTTTTCACTGAGTATTCCACTCTGCCGCCTTCCAGCCAGGACCCAGAGTGCTAAGCTTTGGCTTTCGGGGTCCTAATGAGGTGTTTCACCTAATGGCTGTGTTCCTGGGCTTGATTCTTCACAGTTGTGTGTGTGAAGCTGAGATCACCAGCTACATTTTTTTTCTTTTTTTTTTTTTTTCAGGGTCAAAAAGGGTTTATGTTGTTAATTATTTATTTTTATATTAGAAGTAAGACAGCCTGTCGGTGAAAAATTCAAGCAGGTCCCCTTCATGCCTCCTGCCACTCCAGCCCCTCCAAGGCCTCCACACAAGCAGTGCTGCTCTGGGGCCACATGACCTGGGTTCAAATCCCAGCACTCACCAGCTGCAGGGCCTTGAGCAAGTTACCTAACCATTTTCGGTCTCAGTTTTCTCATCTGTAAAATGGGAAAATAATAATGCTCAACTCATAAGTCTTTGTGGGATTTAAATGAATTAAGTAAAGTTAATTTGTCCAGTGGCACAGAGAAAGCATTTAATGGCTATTAACCTGGAATATTACTAAGTGTTGTATATCCTTTTAGACCAGGGGTTCTTAACCACATTGAAACTGGGTGGGTGGAGAGATTTCAAAATTCCTGATGCCTGGACCCCATCCTCAGAAATTCTGATTTTATTGGCCTGGGGGAGAGCCTGAACATCAGGATTTTTAACATGCCCCCAGTCATTATAGTGTGCAGCCAGAATTGAGAACCATTGTACCAAGTATTTTTCATGTGTATTAGTTAGGTTAGGTGAGGTTATGCTGCAGTAACAAACATTCCCCCAAATGTCATCTACTTCTCTTTTATGGTACATGCCCCTCTGATCTGTCACAGCTCTGACCCACATTATCTTTTCTCTGGAACATTTAGTCTCGTGAAGTGGGAAGAGAGAGCATGACCAACCACTTGCTCTTAAAGCTCTGGACCAGAAATGAAACATAACTTCTGTTTACATATCATTACCCAATGCAAGTCACATGGTCACATCTGAGTTCAACAGGGAGTGTATATATCAGGGGTTGGCAGACTTTTGCTGCTAAGGGCCAGATAGTAAATATTTTAGGCTTTGCAGGACACAGGATCTCTGTGGCTCATGCTGACCTCTGCCTTCAAAGTGCAAAAGCAACCATAGACAATACACTGTTTAAAAATGTAAAAAGTCGGGGTGCCTGGGTGGCTCAGTCAGTTGAGTGTCTGACTCTTGATTTCACCTCAGGTCATGACCTCAGGGGTCATGGGATCAAGTCCCACGTTGAGCTCCATGCTGGGTGTGGAGCCTGTTAAAGATTCTCTCTCCCGGGGCGCCTGGGTGGCTCAGTCATTAAGCGTCTGCCTTCAGCTCAGGTCATGATCCCAGGGTCCTGGGATCGAGCCCCACATCGGACTCCCTGCTCCACGAGAGGCCTGCTTCTCCCTCTCCCACTCCCCCTGCTTGTGTTCCCTCTCTCGCTGTGTCTCTTTCTGTCAAATAAATAAATAAAATCTTTAAAAAAAAAAGATTCTCCCTCTGCCCCTCCCCCCACTCGCACACACGCATGGGGGCTCTCTCTCTCTTAAAAAAAAAAAATGTATAAAGTCGTTCCTAGCTCATGAGCCACACACAAACAGGCAGCAGGCCAGATTGGGCCTGTGGCTGTAGTGTGCCAAGTCCCGGTGCGGATCGTCCTCCTACAGGGTGCCCACCGCAGCATGTGTATGGGAGAGAGGGAGAGAAAGGGACCCTTTGACTGCACAGTTGGGTTTCACACGTTCTACTGTGGTGGATCTTGCTTTTGTTACTTCATATCTTGGTGCTAGTTTCATGTCAGTAACTCTCACATGACTTTACTTTTTTAGTGGCAGCCTAGTTTTCCGGGGTATGGAGGGACCCTAATGGGGTTTTGTCTGCTTGCTTTTATAATTAAAACTCTTGTGAGAAAACAGTGATGTTGCATGTACGGGAGGAGTACAACAGCTTCCACAGAGAGACTGTAGTAAAGAGAGAACCAACATGCCCGCTCTGCCGGTGGGTTTTACCCAGTCTCTGCTGCTTCCCTTTAGTATTGCAGGCTTCCCTGGAAGCGGAAAGGCTGGGAGGGGCCCTCCTTTCTTGCCGCCATTCCCGGATCTGGCAACGCTGAGCACAGTGGCAGTTGCAGGGGCATATGGGGGAGATTGCAGTACTAAAAAGGGCAAGGAGAAACCAGGGGCACCTAGGAGTGAAATCTCGGAAGCCATCCAGCAGCATCATCCTGACCCCACGCGGAGACACAGCCTAGACCGCATGGGAGTCCATCAGGAATGTCTGTGACTGCCTTTCAGTCGGCGGGGGGGAGTGTATGGGAGAGAGGCCCTGCTGGCAGGTGACTCTGTCCCTTCTTTCTACCAGGACACCACAACGTCGGTGCGCATCGGCCTGATGATGGAAGAAATGATCTTCAACCTTGCAGATACACATCTGTTCTTCAACGACCTGGAGGTTTGGCATTGCCGGCCCGTTCCGTGTCATAGTCCCCATGCTAAATGACCTGCGTCGGGTTTGGGGGAAGAGCCCTTGTCCAAATCCAGGGGGCAGCCTCCCGAGGCCAGCGAGGCCGGCCCCTCCATGGATGGTGGGGTTTTAGGGGCTAAATTCAGAAGACCCCTCTCCGCTCTGAGCTGCCTTTTCTCTTTTGTGGTTTTCCTTTTTCCTTTGGAGGCTAGAAATTTTTGCTGACAACCCCCAAGAAGGCACAAAACCATGGCCAGCAACAGACAGTTTATTGAAAACACACTTGGCCAGCTGATCTCCCCAGCTTCCCCAGGCGACTAACGGGCTTCTCTCTGCTCTGGCAGTTTCGCTAATCCAATAAAGGCTGTGTCGTCTCTTCCTCCTGAAACTTACTATTTAATAAGTTTATTAAGGCAAATTAGTACAGATCCTCCTGGGTCAGTAATAATTAGCAGTGGGCCAGGATGGAAGCTTTTAAAAACAATTTACATTCCCCTGAAAACATGTTTTACGAAGACAGAGAGCAAGCCGAGGGACTGGTGCTTATTTAGTATCTGCTCCTGTGCCCTGAGGCAAGTGGCAAAAGAGATGGGGGAGGGGAGGGGAACAACGTCAGAAATCAATTTAACTCCTTTGTTTATACCCAGCCTGTGGCAGAAAGATTTGAGAAGAATTTCAAATGGAAAACATATTTAAAATTGAACTATTAAAGCAAAGCAAAGGAATAGAAAGCTAAGTTAACAAATAAGGGTAAGGCACTGTACCAGGAAAATCTAGCTCAGGCCAACTACTGCAGTGAAGTTCAGAGTTAATCTCTCTTGAGCTCCCTGGTAGCCAAAGCAAGGAAGGAAATACAATGCATGATTTAACCTCTGATGAAAGAGCAAGCAGCTTTCTCCAAGGTGAGAAGGTTTTTTGGCTGATAAGAGGATTAATGTGGGGATCTAATGGCTTTGTAAACTGCATTTGCATTTTTGGTTTACCAGATTGAAAAATGAAGGTAATCTAAAATTATACTGTGTATGAAAGAACAGTCCTGATTATCTTAGCAGGAATATTTTTTCCTGGAATCAAAAATCCCTGGGACTAGCCTGTGAAGTAGAAATATGAAGGCTCTGAATTCTGATCTGGCCTGGTTGGCCCAGAGCATGACTGGTATGTATCATCAGGAAGGGATACAGGTTCTCCTTTCTGGTCTGTGGTCCTAAAATTCCAGAGGAGGAAACCCTTGCTGAAATGATCAGTCTTGTGTTCTGTCCAGCCTAGGCAAGCCATTTGGGCCTCAGCCTTCCTATCTGTGAAGTGGAATGGATGTTCTCTGCCCAACATCTTAAATTCAGTTAATTAACATACAGGGTATTATTAGTTTCAGGGGTAGAGTTCAGTGATTCTTCAGTCTTATAATCGGTGCTCATTACATCACACGCCCTCCTTAATGCCCATCACCCAGGTACCCCATCCCCCATCCCCCCTCCCTTCCAGCAACCCTCAGTTTGTTTCCTATGATTGAGTCTCTTATGGTTTGTCTTTCTCTGTGATTTCATCATGTTTTAAATTTTTCCCTCCCTTCCCCTATGATCCTCTGTCTTGTTTCTCAAATTCCACATATGAGTGAGAGCATATGATAATTGTCTTTCTCTGGTTGACTTATTTCGCTTAGCATAATACCCTCTAGTTCCATCCATGTTGTTGCAAATGGCAAGATTTCATTTTTTTGATGGCTGAGTAGTATTCCATTGTATATATATACCACATCTTCTTTATCCATTCATCTTCGTTGGACATCTCGGCTCCTTTCACAGTTTGGCTATTGTGGACATTGCTGCTATAAACATTGAGGTACAGGTGTCCCTTCGGATCACTACATTTGTATCTTTGGGGTAAATACCCAGTAGTGCAATTGCTGGGTCGTAGGGTAGCTCTAGTTTCAACTTTTTGAGGAATCGAAGAGAGGATCTATGTAGAAACTCATTGATGACAAAGGAGAACATTGGCGTGGTGTGTTGCTCTGTTGAGCATCAAGCCCAGGACTGTCCCTTCAGCCAGATGCAACGTGCAGGCCCACTTTACAATGACCTCTCGTGTCTTGGGGAAAAAGAGGGGGGAGGGAGGGAGAGAACTAATGAACAAAACAAACATGGCAGTTGAATTCAGCAAGTATTTATGGAGCCTAATGTAATAAAGAGTCAGCTGATTGCAAATGACAAAGCCTGACTGGCTTTAGCAAATGAAAGGAAATTATTGGCTCTTGTGGTTGAAAAGTCCAGGGTAGATTTAGTCTCTCAAGATCTCCTCCTTAAAATGTTGGCTCCATGAGGGCAGGAACCCCAGCTGTGTCACCCTCAATCCCCCGGGCCTCAGCAGTAAACAGCTAAACAAATCCATAAATGAGAAAGTTAATTTAATGAAAAGGTCATGAAGAAAATAAAACAATGAGATGTGCTAGTGAGTGGTGGGAGAGAGGGGGTAGGCTTGGGGGGGGGTCAGCATTCTCGAAGGAGTCAGGGGAGGCCTCTCGAGGAGGTGACGCTTGAGCCAAGGCTTGAATGATGACAGCAGCCAGCCAGGTGGAGATCTAGAGAGGTGGGACCAGCACATGCAAAGGCCCTGTGGTGGGAAGTGTGTGAAGGCCACAGTGACTGTAGTGAATGAGTGAAAGCACAGGGGTGACTGAGATAAATGAGTCTGGAGAGGGAGGTGTGAGCCAGACACGGGTCAGGGACATCAGAGTTTATTCTAAGTGCTGTGGACAGCCGTGGGGCCAGGGAGCATTAAACAGGAAAAGCTGCGTGATCTAGTTTATGTTTTAAAACGACTGCTCTGGCTGCTGTGTGGAGAACGGGCAATAGGAGGCGAAGGGTGGAGGCTGGGAGACCAGCAAAGAGATTATTGCAGTTGTCCAAGCAAGAGAAGAAAGCTGGGTTGCATCAAGGTGGTAGGATATAGGCTTCGGGATGGCGGTAAAGCCAGAGGGCTCCTGGTGGGTTGGATGGGGGCACAAAGGAGAGAGAGGAGGCGGGGGTCGGGGTGGCTTGGCCTGACCAGGGCGACAGTGCCATGCTCCGAGATGGGCAGACAAGGCAGACGTGGGAATGCGTGGGGAAACCCATCCTTCTGTCGAGGGCACGTGGGGTTTGAGGTGTCTGCGACACCCGGGAAAGATACCGAATCGACGGGCAGAGGTAAGAGTTTGAAGTCCCACACGGTAAAAACGCCAGACACACAGCGGGCGCTTTATCGACGTGGGTTGAACCTGAGGCTCAGAGCCAGGCATTTCACTGGACTGATGTGTGTTTCAAGGCAATGTCTTTAGTCTCGCCGCCTGTGCTGTTCCTCATTGGCCCCGAAGTGGGAGTCACGCCTCCTGGCGAAGGATTTAATTCCCAGCTGGAGCTACTCAGGGAAGCCAGTTTGGTTTTATTCCCTAAATGTTTTTCAAAAATGTCCCCGGTGCCAGAAGCCCCCAGGGCACCTCAGCAGAACTGAAACCGTGGTGCACAAGGGAGAAGTTAAGACTCACACAAGGAAAAACCGTCAGCTTGCTGGTGCAGGGAGCCCTTGTCCAAATCCAGGGGGCAGCCTCCCGAGGCCAGCGAGGCCAGCCCCTGCATGGATGGTGGGGTCTTAGAGGCCAAAGTCAGAAGACCCCTCTCCGCTCTGAGCGTGCAGTGCCATCTTTAAGTAAGGGAGTTAGCTTGGGCACGCAGCAGCGATTTAGGGAGAACTTAGCATCTGCCAGGCCCTCTGCTAAATGCTGCAGATTCAGTGGCAGATGATACACAGCAAGATCCCCGCCCTCAGAGCACTGACCTTCCGGCTGGGGAAGCAGATCATAAACAACTGAATATATAATGTCAGATAAAGTGCCCCAAAGAGAGACCAGCAGAGTCAGGGAGGAGACGGTCATGAGGCTGTTACTTCACTTGACACAACCAGGTAAGGCTTGTGCCACGTTGGAGCAGACACCTGAACGAGGTGAGGGAGCGGGCCATGTGGGTATCCGGGCAGGGAGTGTGCCGGACGGAAGAGCAGGGCAGAGGCCCTGAGGCATGGTCCACGTTGGCAGGTTCCGGAAACAGGGAGGCTGGCCCAGGAGCAGGGAGGATTGTGGTGGGCAGTGGGAGTGGGAGCTGGGTGCAGGTCACATGGGGCTCTGGGCCATCCGAAGGCTTGGGATAATCTCAGGGTGACAGGAAGCCATTGGAGGGTTTTAAGCAGGAGAGCACCAGCTGACTTAGGTTCCGAGGCTCCTTCAGTGAACAGACCAAAGAGGGCAAGGGTGGAAGCAGGTATCTGAGTTCTGTCAAGTCAGGCACCCAGCCTCCCATGTGAAAGCACTCAAGGGGAAGAGTCCAGAGACAGGGTAGGTGCCAAGTTCAGCTTATCTCCGGCTCTCCAGGACACCTGTCCTGAGCTTAGGGCAAGGAACCTTCTAATCCGTTCCATCTGCCTTGGAGTCCTGGCTCCACCCATGCCTGGCTGTGTGCCCGGGGCAAGTGTCTCCCCTCCTTTAGCCTCAGTTCCCTCATCTGCTCAACAGGTAGAAGAAAAGCCCCGAGCTTCCAGGGTGTAATGATATTGGGGGAGAGATGAAAGCTGCCCGCACGGATCCTGGCCCGCTTGCACGTGCCCAACAACTGGGCCTCTCCACCAGGGGTGCGGCGTGTGCCTGGGGGCTGGGCAGGGGGCTCCATGGTGCCAGGGCAAACTGTTTCATTTAAATCGTTAGACGTTTATTTTACTATGAGCTAGAAAAATACAACTAGCTTGCCCACCTCCTGATTTCACAATGGTTCAAAAGCAGTGCACGCAACACAGAGATATGGCAAGGTCATGACTCCAGCTGCTGGAGCTTGGGCATAAATACCGCCAACCGGCTCCCTGCTCCGGGCCACCTCGCCTTTGTGCAGGAGCCGCTTAGAAGCTGGGGCAGGGGACCCCTCGTTCAAAATGTTGGCTGGGTCGCAGGGCAGGGCGCAGGCTCAACT